GATTTTTGCTGCTCGGTCGCGGTCACTTTCCGACTGGTCACTAGGAAAACTTTTCGTGGAAGATAAACTGTCCTCCCACTACCATCGGACGAAAGATTTAATGGAGATCGGCTGGATAAGCTTGGTCAAACAACAGAAAAAAAAAAAAAAACTGGCACCGAATATTCTGGAATATTTTCAAGGGGCACCGATATCAAAAAATTGGAGAGTTTGATTAGTAGATGAACTACTGAATTTTTAACGAGTCGGAGGTGGGGTTAAAGAAGACGAGTATTCGACTTTACCTATTCGAGCAAAAAAATAATTTCTCTGGATCGTTCCCGGCGAAAGGACGAGGCACCGAGGGAAACGAGAGATTCAACCCCTCTTTGGAAAAGGTTAAGTATCGACTCGAGGCGAAAGAGAGTCGTTACGTAAAGGATGCGAGCACGCTAGACTTTTCGATTATAACTGAAAAATGAACACGCCCCGCCACTGACGCGTAATTATGATGAAAAATCGTGTCGTTCGGGAAGCGAGTTTGTCCTCGTTAATGTCGGGTCCGTGTGATATGGAAATGAGATACGTATAGAGATGCGAAACGCGAAGCAGGGGTGATTACTTTTAAAAATTCAAACGTTTAGCTCTACTTGCATCGCTATCGTGGATCTGGTCTCGTTTATTCATTCACGCGGGACAAATCGTGCGAAGATTAGGCCAATTGGACAGCTTACGACTGTTTTCTTTTTTTTTTTTTTTAAATTCAGGTTGTTTGACTGGTGGAATGCTTCAATGCTAAAATGGTTCATCGCAATAGTGCCTCGATCCTAAGATACCTTAATACCGAAATGCTTGCGCCAATGATTCTTTGCTAAAATGTTTCAATACCAAAGTGTGCCGATCCTAAAATACCTCGATCCTAAAATGCTTGTGTCAATTCTTTGTTGCTAAAATGGTTTGGTACTAAAACGATCGATTTTAACCTACGTCAATGCTAAAATGTCTCAATCCTAAAACGGCACATTTACTTTTCTGGTTCCTTGAAAACGGCTTATTCGGAGCTGTACCGTGCTCGAACTCACCGATTATACCCGCCGGTTATACCCACTCACTTGTCCAAGTAGAACAAAGTTCCTTTCCATCTCTTTTTCGTCCACCAGCGGGATCGTGAAATTCCATTCCGATTTCCAGTCATCTTGAAAACTGGAATGAAGCTTTCCGCGACCGCTCGTCCTCCTTTTCCCCTCTAGCCTCTTATCAGTCGTGGATGTCTTTGCCCAAACGGAATCACCAAACGGTACACAGCATTTTCATTACTTTTTGCCCCTGTTCCGTTTGCAATCATACGTCACCGACGCAGCAGCGTCTATTTATTCGCGCGGGAGATACCATTTCCGCGAATTAAAATTCGTCATTCGAACAAATGGAAAACTCGAAACTTGATTTTTCAATCTTTTAACGTGCCCATCGCGCCAATATTGCCCGTGGGAAAATATTCAATTCCGCGATGTTCAATTTTCGAGAGTCAGTTTGACAAATTACAAAAGCGTAAATTCAACAGACGAAACGATCCAATAAGACCGCTGTCCATCGATTCGACGGAAGTGTTTAAAAAAGTCACGTTTCGAAGCGTTTCATCGATGCATTTCGGGAATCGAGCATTTCAGCATTAAAATCTTTACGAATCGAAGCATTTTAGGTTCAGGCACCTTGCCAGACGAGTAATTTAGCCCTGAGGCATCTCAGAATTGATATTGACACTGGTGCACGTCACTGGAGAAAATTCCTTGTAATTATTTTTATTCTCTCCCGTTCGAATGCGTCTTCGTTTCGCGGTTCGGTTTCCAAGGTGAAGATTTATTACAGAGTCGAATCGAACCTTAAGAGGCGATCGCGACGAACACGATGGGTTCCCAACGACCCTAATTCCAATATAAACGACGACTTCCCTATTATACCGAGCAGATGTTCCTCCGAATAGTATCTCCTCTACTCCCCGTAATGTGATCAATTAAAATTGCGTCTCGAAAACACATTGCGAAATTCTCGCTTCGATCGATCGCCTCGATTTGTTGCCAACAATAGAAGCATGTTTTGTTAATGGAACGCGGGTGTATTTTGTTATTAAACGAAAACATCGAAAACATTCCATCTTTCCTTTAAAAAAACGTTGAAAACACGTTTGGATTCAACGAATTGTTCATCGTCGGACCACTGACAATCGTTACATTTGTGTTCGCTTGATACCGCAAGCGAATTATCGTTCCAGTTACGGGGTGATCTAACAGAGGTGGATCTAAAACTGGAAATACAATTTTGAATAGACTTTAGCTATTTAATATTTCCGAACACGAAAAGTCGAGAATAAAATTGAAATAAGTAATCGTGAGATATTTTTCTATATTTTAACAATTAAAACTTCATATCTCCGACATAATTAAACATTTGTGATACATACAGTATCATTCAGTGTTCGTTTTTTTATTCCTTTAGTTCTTGAGAGATTAAAATTCCACGATAATTCTTAAACCATCGGAAAATCAGATGGACAATCATCCACTTGAAGGTGTCGTGTGGCCAAACGATCGTCTATCTCGATAAGCAGATGTGTTACGTTAATTCCGTTATATTTGTTACATACTCGGATGGCTGTGCGACGGGAAGAACGCATTATTTTCGAGCGCAGGTCAGGCACAGAGAGCGTCTGCGATAACCGTATTATCGTCCCGTCTCATAAACTTGTTTAGCGTAGTTTACGAGCACGCGAGTCTTAACTGCCGTGTACGATGCAATCCACGAAATAACGATCAGGCTGTTTCGTGATACGTTCGTATCGCCAATTATCGTAACTCCCAAGAAAATGGGATGTCTGGGTGTACGATACTCGTCGTCGCAGAGTTATTCCGTAGCCGGAGCAGACTTTCATTTATTAACGGGCAACCACGACGAAACGTAATTTAAATTCACCATTTATCATTCAATTATTGATTTCATTCGCTTTCTGTTTTCGAGACGAAACGTCGCGCGAGTTAACTGTAAATGTTACGACGTTTATAATGTTTTTTTTAAAAATTCACGCAGACAAAGGGTTAGTCAATCCATTTTATGGACGACGCGCACTCTGTGTTCGCTCCGAGCGAATGCACATAACAAAGTAGAAGACATCGGAAAGTAAAATGAGAATCTTGTTGACTGGGACTCGAGGCACGAAGAAGTTGGTACTCGGCGAAGTGTGTATTTTGCTGGAATCCTGGACAGCGGAAGTAAATACCGAGATACAATGTACCGATACATTACAGTAACAGTTTCTTGCGTCAACACTAAGTTGCAATGCAATTTAAAGGCCAAACCGTCCTAATGGATTTCGTGCTGTTGTCGACGGTAAACAACTACAAATGTTACAGCCGAGTCACTAGCGAAAGGTCGTCTTGGATTCGAACAACCATAATAGAAACATAACGGTATTCATACTTTGCTGGAGTAATGTCCAAATAAATGTACTCTTTCAGGCTTAGGAGACAGCATTTCATAGATTAGAATAGTCTTGATCAGACTTCGAGTAGCATACAGGAGGACGTTCCTGCATTCTAGCATAATTGATTCCATGATTGGTCGACAGAATCAAGAGAAGGATGATCACACGACATCGCGATAATCGTCTTGTAATATAGCGGGTGTTCGCGTGGCACTTCGAGGCTTGCGTCACAGGCTCGTAGCCCACCTAGAGACGAGTTTACGTCGAGTGTGTAAATCGAGCCTTTCCTTTCTTTCCATTCGCACCTTGTCCCCGTGCCTACGTACCGAAGTTTACACCCCAGCGAGTCTAGGTCAGGAACAACGATGACGACAGCTACCAACGTTTGACCTTAAGACTAATTTTAAATTTCTCGCCGAGAGGGTGAGAACTCGCGATGCAAAACGACCACGGACGAGCCACTCGACGAAATAACAAACATTATCGCTGCTCATCGAGGATTCGGCGATGAACGAGGCGCGAGAAAGAGCGCGCGATCAAATTGCCGGTTTGAAGTTTGGAGAGAAGTATCGTGCACGGAAATGATCCATTACCTACGCATTTAGGTACGTACCATTGGTATTTAACAAGAAGCGAATTAATTAAATATCAAAGTAAATGATAAATGGCATTCAGCTTGAGACGTTCAAGTTAATGAATGAATTCTCTGACGCGAATATCGGATGCTCGATTTTTCCTTTGGCGGATGAACAGTAGTTAACCAATCACGATTTCCACCATCGAACGACCTGCCGATTTCGTTTGTGAACTTCGTTCGAATAACATAGCGTGACAGCGATATGGTCAGCTGAGCGCGTGGGTGGGTTACCCGAAACAGGCCACACCGCCGCAGTTAACAGCTCATTATATGCGTCAATTACAAAACGCCCATCCTAGAAATAATCTCGTTTCGTGGAGCCTCGGGAAATTTCCGCGTTATAAAAGACTGTCCGAGACAGAATTCTTGATCGATTCTAGTAATTAAAAGTTGGCGTGAAAAAAAAAATATATATATATATATATATATATATATATATATATATATATATATCCTAGAGTTATTACGAGAATCAAATGGAAATCATGTTGAGATGATTTACATACACTGGCGACATGTAAATATATACAGTCAACGTACACGTTTACATTTGCTTATCGTTGCACAGCTTATTCCACGCGGGGGAGGTAATGAATCTAGGAGGCAATATTATTTTCAACAAACTTTTAATTACTCGCGTCTGATTAAGACCTCTGGCTCCTACGAGGGAGGAGGAGGGACTGCGACCTCAGCGTTACGTAATCCGGCAAAGGGTTAACACTAGAACCAAGGTTTCATTGGAGCGATGGAGCAAATTACTAGTCTTAAAGACACCTTATTCGGTTGAATAGAAAAATATTTTACTGCTAAATTGAATAGATATAGATATATATATCTAAGAAGAATTGTATATTAAATGTATCGTTAAAGAGTACGTCTGTACGAGTACGACGAGGATAAAATTCTCACCTCCTGGGTCTGAACGGCCTCTTTGACGTGTTCGGCAATCTCAGCCGCCTTCAGGCCAGTTTCTATGGGCGCGACCTGGGAAAGTCGTCGCGCCTGGGCGTCCGTGGCTAGCTCCTGGTAGCAGGATTCCCCGGAGTCCCGTCTGCTGCCGGCGATGCACATGGCTCTGCGAAAGAGTCCTGCGACGACTGCGCAAAGACCGCACTGCATGCTAGTTGCACTGCCACGACTGGACAGGGAACCCCCGCCATTGGTCCTTCGTCGGGTCCGAGTCCCGCGAGAGCCACCGTCACGTGTTTGGGACGCCAGTTTTCTTAATTTTCCCACTGTCCTCGCACTCTCTTCGGGCCCACCCACTATCCCGTACTCCTGTACTCGACACGAAACCACCTCTTCACCGAAACGTCACACGACGATCCTCCACGTGTTCCATTTCCGTAGCTGGCTATCCCTGGATCACATCGAGAGGATCTTTGGGATGGATTCAGGTCTGAGTCTTTTGCTAATCACCGTGTATCGCGTGTCATCTATGCGAGCAAATCATAGTTGAGAAGAGACAGAGAGGAGGAAAAGTTTGATTTTTGAAACAGGAATGGAATAAATGTATTCGATTGTATTGAGCGTTGCAGCTGGCTTCTTCGAGGGTGAAATGACGCATTGATTGCAGTCGATAGTATGCTCCAAGTGGGGTATGGAGTTGGTTAGAATCCGTAACCTGGCGAGGGGTCATTGTTAGCATAGTAGGTTCCACGAGCAGAGACAGAGAAGATGGAAGATTGACTTAGGTTAGAAGGTATCCTATAACACGGGATGGTTATAATCAATCTTCGTAATGCCTGCGAGTAAGCACAAGGACCATGGGTTAATTGACACTGATGATGACGAGTTTAAAAGACGATCCGACGTCTGGTTCTCACAGGATCCACCTCGAAGACGTTCGCACAGGAACGTCTTCTGGTAAGAGGATTATAAGCACGCCATCAAACGTTGCGACTACATCATTTAATTACGTTTCAAGTTGATCGAATAACAGAGTACATCGTTGCTCAGAGATTCTATTCATATCCTAGTATTCCAATAAAATTTCGCCTATCTCTGAAAAGAGGTTCGAAGGTTAGGGAGAAGGCGAGTAGAAGGAGGAGGAGCTCGTGTCTCTCCGAAGAACTATCGATTGGCGTCAAGTATACCGTTGGATAGCGTGTAACGACATGGTGCACCATGGATGAACAAGAAACCATAGGCCCTCGTGACCTAGGGAAAGCAACCCTCCGAACTCTGCAACCCTTTCTGTCTCAATCATTCCATGCAGCATCGACAACCTTAAGCGTGTTCCTCCATATAAACTCACGCAAAAACGTGGTATTTGTAGGATTTGTATTTTAGGGATATCATTCGCAATTTTAAGAGTAGTTTTCACCTCTCAAATATGAATATCGGCCAATATACAAAAATACGTGTCTAATACTTTTCAGTGCTCTACCTCTATACCACGTTCCATTAAAATCGGCGTGTTGGGTAACGTTCCTTGTAAGTATTGAGCAAGGATAACGGTCATCGTGCCTCGACGCAATCAACGCAATCGCACACGCGTCCCAGAGAGGGTTAGCTATTCCTAGCAGTCGATGTATCGACACGTGCTTCGCATGCCAGTGAAAAACCTGGCCGCGAACGCGACTTTCACGCCGTGAGCCAAATCGTCGATCGTCTTCCCATCGTTCGATACGTTAGGTAAACAAGCAGTTTCTTCCACCACCTCTTCTAGTCTCTGTCCCTCGATAAGATATCGGAGAACCAAGAATCTCGGCCTAGGAAGAGAAATAAAAACGGGCGGGAACAAAGAGAGCGGCCTTTGTTCCCCGCGACCTCGATTTTTAAGCAAGACTTTTTTTCAGCTTACGGAGCAGCAATTATAACCGCGTGGCAAGAGCCGCCCTCAAAGCACATACACGAGAAAAAGGAGGAACGGACCATGCTAGTAGCTCGTTTCCATGCTATCTGGGAGATTGTGCTCTACCAAGTCCGGAGATGGACTGAATATTATCGCGATAAGGGACAAACCTAAGGGACGCGACGAATGGAGAACGATTTATTCGATCTAATAGGTGACACTTTGTCATTGTTTTCGTACAAAAACATACTCATTCCGATGAGAATTGATTGTGACGTTAAAAAGTGATTTACCCCTTTGCTGGAAAAGTTACAACAGCGTTCTCCAATTGAAACAAGAACAACTGCTCCAAAACCAATGCGTTATACGCGTTTTCTTTCAATGTAATCTATCATTTTCTTTCATTTATAGACTTCTTTTTTTTTTTCTTTCTATCCTTCTACACCTCGAGCTTGCACCAAAGTCTGTAGAACCAACGTTTCCCTTCCACACTCCCCTTGTAACAAATTCGTTTGAATGGCTACTCAACGAAACAAATATCACCAATTAATTACTATACTGTAGTCGTTAGTACTTAATACTGAATATTCGTACATCTCTGATTCGAGCAGCGTGCCACGAGCACTTCCGTCAACAACGAGAGACCTGACGCTACACAGGCGCAACTGCGCCCTAAGCTTTCGTAGCTTCGACGAAAACAGTTGCTTCTCTTGATTCGAATGCACCGTGAATAATTACCAATTTTCTAAAGCCCTCGGAATCAGAAACTACGTAAATTTTAAAATGTGATCTCTACGCTATCTCTTCGCTTCGAATAAGAGCTAAATTTTTAATCAATTTCAGAATATTATCACTCGACGATCGAACACATCGATAGATAAAATAAACCAACGAGTAGAAAAACACACAAGAAACTTATCAAACTAGCGGTACGATCTGAATTCGTCAGCGATACTCGATAGTCATAACGCCAAAGGGTTAAAACACTCCGATCGCACATCCTACGTATATGAATAATCAAAGAATCGATGCAACGGAAGTCCGACACTCGACAACTAATAAAAACTGCATCACACTTTGGACGTTGGCGCACTTCCGACGATTAAAAGAAGATCGTCGATCGAGCTCCTTCGCGGTGGGGGCTGATAAATCACGTTTTACGAGTGGCGTCACATCGGGTTGTGTCACATGTGCGAATTTGTCCAGGGGAGACGAGCGGAGAATCCTCGATACCTTTTTTTATAAGGGCGTTACGGGGTCTGGCTGTGGTCGGGCGAGAATTTCTAGCCAGCGAGAGGAACGAGACGGGGTAACGCCCGCGCACAGATCTCGTAGCTGGTTCCGCACCGGGACGAGCCTAGGAGCTCCCATAACCGCGTGTCACGGGCAACGGGATGGCCCCCGGGCCCCGAGGCCCGGTGCCCCTGGTGGCCGCGAGCACGAGGGCGCCTCTCGTCGCGTTCTTCCTCTGTCGCGCACGTTTTCGTACGGTGGCGTCTGTGACGAAATGAAAAGAAAGAAAAAAAAAAAAGGGGACACCTTCCCTCCCGAGAGAGAGGACGAAACCGGGAAGCGAAACGTCGCTATCACCGTCAATGCACGCCGGCCGGCCGCTGTGCATGCACTGAGGCACTGCCACTGGGTTCGAGCGACTTTCGAGCTCGGCCTCCCTCGGTAGCCTCCGTTCTTGCTCGGCCCCGCTCGCCGCCTGGCCACGCTTCCCGGTCAGGCTGCCCCCGAACCATGGATGCCAGATTGGAGACGTCACTCACGGGGAACACCCCCCACCACATACGTATACCAACCCACGGGCCGCCAGCTCGCTGCTTCGGCCGCCTTCGGGAACACGAGAGAGAAGGCCGGATTATCGGAGCCGTTTCTTCTCGGGTTTGTATCGCTCAAGACTAATTTGGGGGTTGTTCGATTCGGAAAGAAATGTCGATTTCGAGGGGGAAGGAGGGGAATCGATTGCTCGAGAAATGTAGTCAAACGAATGCGTTGACGATTTGGAATATTGAGTTTGTCGAGGGTGATTATGTGTTGGGTATAGTTTGATATCTTCGAGGTTTGTCAAAGGGTTCGAAGGAACTGATGAAGTTTGAGGTACGAAGGATCGATCGTTGCTTGATCCGAAGTGCAGGCAAACGGTATACGTCTACGGTCGGTCGTTTGCTCGTGTGTATCGCCGAAGGAGAATATCCCTGGAGACGTATTGGGTCAGACGTTATGGTTAGCCGTCGTTGGTATAATAGAATTACCCGCCATTGGCGTCGTGTTGTACCTACTCGTACAAACCAACATCTAAGATTGTCATTGTTCGTTTTAAATTTCCCATATACTTTAGCCAACTAGACTTCTAATACGATGTATACCTCGATCATTTGCCCCTGCATCGTAAACAAAGTTGCAAACCAGCAAACGAGAGAATTGCATACGAAACCAGCTCCCTGTAAAATGACCATATTCCAATCTGCCAGCAATTTGAACGAGACAGAACCTCGATCTCCGTCCCTCTCGTCTGGCCGATGTTACCCGAAGCCTCGAGCTCGCGTGGGTGTGTGTACGATTGCCACGTGTGGTGGGGGAAACTCTCCGTCGACGTTCGTTTCAAATCTGGCATCGCTGCCCCCAGCAGCCGCCGCTGCGAGCCATCAACGAGAAGGGCCCTCACTACGCGTCGAGCTCTCGTCGCGAGTGGCCGCCGAGCGATGCGATCGGGTCGACGCCGGTGCTCCGATACTGTTCTCTCTCACGAAGAGAGGGAACACGTACGCGAGGAGAGAAGATCAATAACGGATCCCTCCCTCTCTTTCCGTCGCGCGTACGCGGCCGCGACGTACCGCTACGTATTTACACATGCACGTCGTGCGAGTCTTTCTTATTACGGTACCCCCTCCGGAGGAGGTAAGGGTGGCCACCTCGAAGGGTGCGGGTAGGAAGAATTTCGCGGTCGTAAGACGGCGTGTAAAAGATGGCCTCATTTATTGATCCTTTACGGATTTTATTCGAGTGTCGCCTCTAGCGATACACCAGCGACGAGGGGTGGGATGGGATTGGGTGGAGGGGTATTTATTTATTTATTTATTTATTTATAGGAAGGGAAGTTTGCTAAGATGAACGAATGCGCTGGGTATCTTGCACTAGAAATCACTCTGCTTTAACGCAGTGGCTTCTATGGTACACGATGGAGTCGGGTAAACAGGCCTGGTCACGCTAGGGAGGAAGTAGGGGATGTAGACTTTAATGAAAGTTTGCGCAAACTTGCGTTGGTTTCCAACGAAAATCGTAAAATCGAGAAACTGCGATTTGAGAGTAATTTTTGCCGTGAGAATCTCTCTCTGTTCCGAAGTATTCGGCAGGGTAAAGATAGTAATCGCTGGGAATAATGGCAGGGCGATAAGGGAAAGACATGGCCTTCATTATTAGGGTATAAATTAGGGGATACGTAACGTCGACTAATTCTTAACGTTCGTTTCTATATGTCATTTTCTGGTAATATCTGACAGTATTTGCGTTACACTGCTTATGTTAATAATCTATCTACCCTGATGTTAAAAATGTCCAAAGCTTGATCATCCTTGATAAGGCCTTCATTCATACCGTGAAGGTACCGCGTCATCCTGTACGATCAACCAAGTAAGATGAAATATTTTTACACCCATCCCGAATGTGTGGGATGGAATATTTTTGCACTGGTTACAAATGTGTCGTACGTATATATATATATATTGCATTTTATGAACGAAAATAGACAGGCAAGGTCGGTGGACGATTTTGAGTGGCTACCAACATCTATCTAACTTTCTAAAGCCTTAACGAACGAATAAAGAGTCTTTCCTTTAATTACAAATGAAAACATACTTTGAAATCATAAATATGAGAATATTAGAATTCAAAGAAATTCGAAAGTTTACTTCGAGCCAATGCTCATCGAGATTTCGCCGAGTCCAAGAAAAGTCTTTTCAAAGAAACGTGCTTTAAACTTTCGAGTTGTATTTTTTGATCCGCGTTCCCTTCTACGAGCTATACAACTTTGTTAAATCTTCGAATATCGCCATAAAACTCGAAGGACGTAACTTTGAAATCTTGAGCGCTGTGAAACTATAATTAATGAAAAAAGAAGTCGATTTTTTATGCAAACAGACCAGAACCCTGCCTTAATTGGGGATTATCGGGTCAATCTTCTGTCAATTTCTCGGGTAATCAATTGCACGACTATCGGAAGAAGTTCCACTGGATGTTGCACGTCTCGCACAATTTATGCATCAGGGTGCATTTCAAACGAATATCCCGACAGTTCTCGAATGGAAGGATCTTCTAACGGATGGATAAATCCTGAGGAATCTGTTACCTGCTCGGCAAATTTATAATTTAGGAGAAATTTCAAATACATCTGCTTTAAATTTATTAACATTATTCTTTTTGGATTTTTCTACTCGCTTTATCTACCTATCATAACGCAACCCCCAGACGCCTTGCAACACAACTATCGTTATTTTCTGTATTTTTTCAGTTCGATACAAACGATGTAAAGTATTTTCGATATCCAGCATCGAGCGAACCACTCGCGGTGTATAGAGAAACCAAAAGTCGGATTACGCGAAAAATCGTATTTGAATTTGTTTGAGCGATAATTTCATCCCCTTTGATCAAATTGAAACACAATATTTGATCTGGCCGTTGCGCAAACAGTACGACTGTTTTATCCCGTGGCCAGATTTGTTTCACAACGTTGCCCCCTCGCGAAGTACCCTTACTCCCACGAAGGGTGATTGTAGCGAACCGAGATATTTATACCTCTGTTGTAAACCAAGTTATATATTGTTCGACGCTCGAAATTTTTGTCGAAATGAAGATTGCGACCATTCGCGCGACCCAGATACTAGAATCAATCTATACCCGTTAAATTCGTATCGATGCGTGCGCCAACCTCTGGGTTTTCACCGATACCAGAGAGACAAACGGATGTAAAATCGATAAACGTTTCCGGTTCCATGACGGAAAACGTATTCGCAATTCCCTGGGATTCGTGCATTTCTTAAATATAGAAATACTTTATACTAACGCAAGGGAGCTCGAATCTATGCTTTATTAATAAACAAATCCGTGGCTCGACATTGTGCTATCGAACAATGCGACCGCAATTATGGTCTGAAAGGTGAAAAATTTGCCCTCCTTTCGCGTCCGTGGCGGCAAGGCAAGAGCGAAACATTCTAAGCGCCGAGAAATACTTATTCGATCGTCCCTGGAAGAAGCGTCCTCATCAGTTCCCATAAGCGTGACCCTGAAAACCAGCGAGAACCAAGGTGAGATTCCCGCGGGGCCAATTGAGGATAGAGAAAATAACCGTGTGTTTTCAGCGTGTCCTCCTCCCCCGCGTCCTCTCCATAGTGACAATCCCAAAGGGAGAAAATCGGGCTGCATTATCGTGGGATTGCCCTTGCAGCTATAAAAAGACTTGACCCGTATTCTATGTTACGTTAAACCTAGCCAGCGCCATAGAAACCTCATTCTTTTTTCTCCTTCCTCCTTCAGGCTTCCTTCGCTGGTCGTTGCGAGACACTTTGCGCCATAGTTGTCGCGATTCTTGAATACGTTTATAACGAGCGTACATTGGGACATGGATTCGCGCTGGTTAGGTGGATGAAAAATTCGAGACGATTCTACTGTATGTCTATGAATCCTATGCTAGGTTTGGGATTAAAGCACTCAGAAGTGCGTTTTAGAAGAAAATTCGGCCAGAACAAACGAATTTTGGTCAGTTTTATGTGCGAATGAAAGTCTTGAATAGCAAAGGAAACAAAGTGCATTTTCTTTGGCCGAGAAGGCAGGAATAACGCACAAGCGGCAAACAGGATATGAGTTGTTTGCGGTGAAGGCGCTGAAAGAACCGTGCGGAAGTGGTTTACTGTGTTCGATGCTGGTGATCTCAACCTTCGGGATCAAGAACGCCCCTAGACTGGGAAAGAACGCGCTCGTGTATTCAGGAATTCGACTAAGTGGTCCAAACATAGAATCAACGATTGATTACTGGCGTCTAACGCAAGCCAGCTCAAAGGTACATCTATTGTGCCAGAAACATAGATATCAGTCTATGCTCCATTAACAAACAAATTCGTGTTTTTTGTGTCCGTCAACTGGGTAGCGAGCTATACAAAGCTGAAACTCTGTACAACGGTTAAATAAATCCGGGGATCCCCTTAATCTCACTTTTCCTCCCGATCCCGTACATCTTCACCAACTACGGAAAAGAGGATTGCTCTAAGACCAAATAAACTTGGAGATTACCCAACTAACTACGACTTTCATGTGCAGCGATAAATAGTGCTTGTTTGTCGAGATCGTGAAATATTTATCCTCGCAATTCCTCACCAAAATTCCTTCTAAAAATTTCTACTTTGTCTAGATAAGGTGATAGGATAAAAAAAAAAGAAAGGAAATTCCACTTTCCTATCCCAAAGAAATCGGTGGTGACCAAAGCAATAACTTTTCGTACCATTTTATACCGTTTCCCATTTTTCTAAAAAATCTAGATTCGTAGAGACAACGGTACTCTTTTTGGGGCATTCTGTACGCAGCAGATCGCAGCGGAGTCTGATGGAACAGAAAGAGCCCGCGAGTGACCAGACGAGAGGTGCGATGGATAAGGGAAAGAGGAGAGGTAGACAGAATAGTTTCATAGCGCCTACGAGTGTAGGTGGAGACTGAAACGGGGGGTGGTTGCAATTGCGGGGTCAACGACCGACAAGCAGTCGCCCCCGTTGAAGCCAACCCGCCAAACGACAGAGGTTCTCAGCTATCCACAACCCCTCGGCCCCGATACCCCCCTCTCTT